GACTTTCTTTCTTCTTTGGAAGAATACTTGTTATGCTAGAAAGCAGCGGGTCACTGCAGAAGGGGGGTGCACACCCCCTGCACCCCTCCCCTGGAGCCTCCTTGCAAATAATACAATGAATGTGGATAAATTCAAGTTGATATTTCAACCTTAAGTACTGGAGTACCCTAACAAAGGCATTTCCCATGTAAACTTAAAAATATTAAATAAATCGTTTTTAACTCAATAAACTGTTAATAGAAGAAGTACATCACTGTCTTACATCTTTTTCATCCATTCCAGTTTTTTCCTTTTGCGCTTTTTTTCAAGGTCTTGTTTTCTTACAACCTGCAGAAAGTGAACTCTGAGTCACACATAAAATAAATAAATAAAATTGTGGATTTATATTGCGCCGTTTCCATGACGGGATGATCAACTGCGCATGGCTAATTATTTTACTTCAACATCTAGGGTGAGCCTACAGCTTTGACTACTAACCTGCCACACCTGACACAATTTTCAGCCTCACTCACCACAGTGCATACTTACCTTACTATGACTAAAAATTTCTTTTTTCAGTGTTGACTCATAAACAAGTGGATCCTGATCAACTCTTTTCATCACTCTGTCTGAGACGAGCCTCCAGCCATTGTTTTCCCACCTCTGGTACCAGCCCGACCGATCATCTAAAATGAAACACCAATTTTCAGGTGAAAGAACTTCAGGGCATGTTTTTTTCCACAAATACCTATATTGCCAATGAAGCCCTTTTTTTAGCCCTATCCTCCGCTTCAACAAAATCCAATTTTTGGTATGTTCACAAAAGCTTTAAAAATTTTCATAAGGCTCCCCCTCAGAGCTGCAATACTTCCAGCTTTGAGCTTCCAACTGCCTCATGTTTATGTTACAGAGGCAGGTTCATATATATCACATACCATATACATGGTAAGGGGGCCAACAAGGCCACTTATCTCAACTATGTTCTTTCTAGGACTAAGTTTTCAACAACCAATCCAGTAATGACAATTTTCTCCATACTCTAAGACATGAAATTAAACTTAGTAACTCAGTGTATTTTGATCATGTTAGTAAAGGTTATAGATATACTTATTTTTACTTATTATGAATTTCTACCTATACTGTAGACTGTCCAGAACACACAAACCCTGGCTAAACCACTCACCTTCCTCCATTGTTTGCTCTTTGTTGTGTACATAATTCGCCGCAAGTCGTTTTGTTGAAGCTTTTGTGTAATCTCTGGGTGCATTAGCACACACGTCAACTATGTTGTGGTGAGTAAAAATCTTGTAGTATATGTTTGGAGGAAATTTTTCCTTAGAGAAAACCAAATGAAAAGAACACACCCTTAGAGATGATCAAATATTTCATGGTTTGTTTGAATATCTATTAACTAAATATAATTGTGTCTAATTTATATATATCTTATTAACCAAGCGCGAGGGCCGTACTGGGAGAATATCAGCCTGAGGTCTTGACAGTACGGACCGAGCTCCGCTCGGTCCGTACAAAATAGACTGAGGGCCGATATTCTTTCAGTAAGGTCCCGAGCAAGCTTGGTTATTAAGATATTTATTATACAACTGAAGTTCAAAGGGACACAAGTGCGGTATCATTCGGGACCATTCGGGACAGTGCCCGGTCCAATACTGAGAGAATATTGACCGGCAATAGAGCATTTTGATTGGTTGATTTTAGTTATTGGCCCTCTGACTGCCCCAGTCGTGTAATAAATCACTTTATTGCCTACTTTTTAAGGATGACTGACAGAGTTTGGAATGAGTAGTAACCCCTGCCTCAGAAAAATGTATTGTCTAATAATTGTTACTGAACAATTCACTGGAAGTGAAACTAGTTTTGCATTGACAGCCTTCCAATGTCAGAACATCATTCCACTGGAAAATCACTTGATCAAATCACACAACGCTGTTTTTATTAAAATTGAACACTCAAGTCAGCA